CAAAGTATCGTTCAAGGCTAAACACTGCTAAAGAAGTCAGAGTGGCCATTTCTGATATTACATCACGTTTTGATAAACTTTGTTCTCAAAAGCAGGCCCAACCATCACACTGAACTTTGACATTTAAATGTCTGATTTTCTTTGCAGAAAAAAAATTAAATACTTGTTAGTTAAATATCGTTTCATTTAAATACATATTTTGGTTCATTGCAAGTGTTAAAACTAATATTTATTGTAGGCCTAATATTGTGTTACTTTAATTTTGAGCAAAAACTGCTAAATAGTATGTAGAAAAACACAAAATAAACTGAATAAAATGTCAAACATACCATGACTTCTATTTTGATATAAAAAAAAAGAGCAGGCTGGGGGACAGAGTATTTTCTCGTGTTAGGGGGTCTCGGAGGTAAAATGTTTGAGAACCACTGCACTAGGGACCAATAAAATAGGAAATGTGATAAGTAATTGGCATGTATCTGATGAGCCGTCCTTGTCGGATCAAGCTACTTATAGGAATCTTAAGAGAACCAATTGGGAGTCTTACAAAGACGACTTAAAGGTAAATCTGGAGACCATCTTGCGAAATATACGCACAATAAAGGATGTTGATCGGTCCGTTGACCAGTAGTAACGGGCTATTATCTCATACTTTTATGGGAATTGTCCGGCTAGGACCGCTCGCGAACCAAGGAGAGCGCCTTGGTGGAGTAAACAGCTGAGTGTGCTTAGAACCAAAACGAGAAGGCTGTTTAATACAGCTAAAAGAACAGGGCAGTGGGACACCTACAAGGAAGCCCTTACCTGCTACATCAGAGAAATAAGGAAAGCCAAGCGATCCTCATGGAGGAGGCACTGCCAGGAGATCAATGATGTACCAGGCGTTGCCAGACTCATGAGGATCATGGCAAAACAGGCGACCGATAAGGTCAGCACGATTAAACTGCCTAACGGGCAGTATATTTCAAACAGGAAAGGAGACACTGAACGAATTATTCAGGGTTCACTTTCCTGATTAGAATTTAATTGATTATTAATTTAAATTGATTGATAATTTTGACGGACAGGATCAGTAAAACCTGGCCACTTGCCAAAGCAAGATGAACAGGGCAGACTGGAATCAGGCCAAAGTCATAATTAACCAATCAAAAATACGATGGGCACTGAACACTTTTACACCATTTAAATCAGCGGGTACAGATGGAATTGTACCGGCACTTTTGCAGCAAGGGGCAGAACTCTTAGTTCCACACGTATGCCGCATATATAGAGCCTGCATGGCATACGGGTTTATCCCCATGGCCTGATGGCAAGTTAAGGTGATATTTATCCCAAAGCCCGGGAAACTTGTTTACACCGAGGCTAAGGCTTACTGTCCTATCAGCCTGTCGTCTTTCCTTTTGAAAATGATGGAGAAAACAGTAAATAGGCATATCAGCGGCGGGGTACTGAGGACATCCTCTACAACAATGGCCTCCAAACTACGGCCCGCGGGACACATCCGGCCCGCGATGTGATTTTATCCGGCCCACGAAAGAATTGTGCAGAAATGCACAATTGAACTAATTTTCCAATGAGTACTGGTAAATGTGATTCCGAGCTTATTGACCTGACATATACTGCAGTTCGATGGCTTAGCTGTGAAAATGTTCTTTCGCGCTTCTTTCAGCTCAGGAATGAAATTGATATATTTCTCACCGAGAAAAACCATCACGAAACACTTTTATCAGATACAGAGTGGCTTTGGAAATTAGCATTTTTTGCTGATCTGGTGAACCATATGAACCATTTGAATGTAAAGTTGCAGAGTGAAAATAACGTAGTCTGTGATTTATTTGCACTTATCAAGGCATTCAGAGCAAAGTTGATACTTCTGGAAAGCCAAGTGAAAAATTCTAACTTTATTCATATGCTGTGCACAGTTGCATAAAAAGGGTGAAGCAGAATTTCCTTCCTCGTTTGCAAATTTAGTCATTTTAGATTCGAAAGAATTTCGGAAGTGATTTGATGATTTGGATTACAGTGCTCAGGAAATTAGATTGTTTCAAAATCCGTTTGACTGTGATGCTGCAGATGTCAAAATCAAATGGAAATTATTGAACTTCAGGAAAATTATCATATTAAAGACAAATACAAGGAAGGAAATTTGATCGAATTTTATAAATTTCTGAACTCTGAGTAATTTCCAAATTTAAAGAAATTTGCTTGTAAATTTATCTCCATTTTTGGGACGACATATCTGTGTGAACAAACTTTTCCCCAGATGAAGTACATCAAGTCGAAATACAGAGCAAATTTATCCTATGAACATTTAAAGTCGCTACTTGTGATTAGCATTTCAAAATTTGAACCTCAATTTAATCAGATTTTAAGAATGCAAAAAGAGATCCATCATTCACATTAATTGTTTTATTATAATTTGTTATTGAAAATATGAGCATTTGCTGCTACTGTCTGTTGTCATTAATATACGATAATTTATTCTCACGTACTTTTTATTTAGTTTATGAAATTCTGCGGTTTCAATAAAACTCATATACCTAGAGTTATTAATTTCTCATTTTATCCGGCCCGTTGAAAGTGCTGAATTATCTAATGTGGCCCGCGGTTCGAAAAGTTTGGCGACCCCTGCTCTACACCGAAACCAACATGCCTACCAAACAGGTAAATCTACCGAAAGTGCACTACACAATTGTGGTAACATTCATAGAAAGTGCGATTGAACGCAAGGATATTGCCTTAGGAACATTCCTTATTACAGAGGGACCTTTCGATAGGCCCTCATTTGATGTAATCAAACAGGCCGCTGGAAAGCATTGCATAGAGCCTGCAATATGCAGGTGGATCAGTGCTGTGCTGGAAAGCAGAACCTTAGCCACTACATTATCAGGAGAAACCCTGGGGGCGTCCGCGTCTAGGGGATGTCCGCAGGGGGGCGTACTTTCGCCTCTGCTGTGGGGCCTGGTCATCGGCGATCTGCTGTGGGGCCTTAATGATAAAGGGTATTATACAGTAGGATATGCTGATGATGTAGCAATCCTCATAAACGGAAAATTCCTTCCAACAGTATCAGAGCGTCTTCAGACAGCTCTGTACATGGTCAAACTATGGTGTGAAAGAACAAGTCTTTCCATCAATCCTAATAAGACGGTAATTATACCGTTTACCAGGAAGAGAAATATAAAGGGCCTTAAGGAACCGACCGTCTTCAATAAAATGATCCAGCTCTCCAGCGATGTCAAGTACCTTGGTCTAGTATTAGACAAGGGACTGACATGGGAAAAGCAGCTGGACAACGTCATCAATAAAGTCTATAAGGCTTTTTGGACATGCAGAAGCATGTTTGGTAAAACTTGGGGACACGTTGTGCAGGGGATATACACTGCGGTTGTAAATCACTTAATTACATACGGCGCCACAGTATGGTGGCCGGCCCAGAGTTAAACTCAAAACAAGCAAGGCAGAACTTAGCAAATTGCAAAGGTTGGCTTGCTTGGGTATCACAGGAGCAATTCGAACATCTCCAACAGCTGCACTGGAGACACTCCTTGGACTCCCCCCACTGCATCTACAGTTCGAGGCAGAGGCCAGGGCAGGAATCTACCGTCTCCAGTGCAGTGAACAATGGAAACCCAGATCCGATAGTTTCGGACATGCATACATAACTCAGGACATGAAAAAAGAACCCATATTACAAACGGGGTCTGACAAAATGATACTGAGACATGTATATGAAAAACCTTTCATAGTCAGATTTCCTGACAGGAGTGAATGGGAAGACGGATTTCGGCCCGATAGAAAAGTGGGACTGATCTGGTATACAGATGGTTCCAAGATAAATAAGGGCACTGGAGCTGGTGTGGTCTACTATGGCACGAGGCAGAAACTTAGTTTCAGCCTTGGGCAGTACACGACAGTGTTCCAGGCAGAAGTATATGCCATTAAGGCATGTATTATGGAGAATCTAGATAGGAACTACAGAAATAGGAACATCTACATTCTATCTGACAGCCAAGCTGCACTTAAAGCGCTTGACAAACACCAGATCAACTCAAAATTGGTCTGGGATTGCCACCAAACCCTCATGGAACTGGCCAAACACAACAGGGTACAACTGATATCGTTGTCAAGGCATGAAGATTGCTGGAAACGAAACAGCAGACCAATTGGCTAAGATTGGAGCTGAACATCCGTTCATAGGACCTGAACCAGCCTGTGGCATCTCTACAGGCGTTGTCAGAAAGGCAATCAGGGACTGGACAAATATGAAGCACAAGAAATACTGGGGATCCTTGACTGGATTCAGGCAAGCAAAGGGACTCATACGAGGACCCTCTGCTAAAAGAGTGAAGGAACTGTTGATGTTAAACAAGAACCAGCTACGATGGGTGGTAGGGCTACCTACAGGACACTGTCACCTTAAAGGACATCTCTTCAAACTGCGACTAAGTGATAGCCCCACTTGTGAGAGGTGTCAAGAAGAAAATGAAACAGCCACACATATCCTGTGTGAATGTGAGGCCTTAGCTTATTTAAGATTACGTCACTTGGGTCAATACTTTATGGAACCAAGTGACTATTTCGACGTCCCCACGTACAAAATCCTACGCTTCATTCAAAGCGCAGAATTGCTGAGGGGATAAGCAAAAGGGAAGCATAATAGGTCACTGTAGGTCGCGGTGCAAGGGCCGAGAAGGCCCACCCCTTACATATTCATTCATTCATACCTCTGACGTAGGCTACAGGGCTGGATCTACGAAGATTATTGTACAGAAGTAATTGTACTTCTGTGTCGCTGAGATTTCCTGTTCGGCCTTTATCCTGGTGTCCTGAGGGAAATTACGACATATGCAGTATATCCTTAATTTTAATTTGCTCTCCCGATTTCCTGGACGCTGTGAGAGAAGCATGAGACAGTAATCAAGATTATGTCGTTGTGTTAAGTTGTTAAGTTGTGTCCGCATTACGCCTTGGGCATAACTCACTGGGTCAGAGCGACTTACTCTGGGGCTTGCGTGTCTGGTAGGGAGTGCTGACTGCCGTGACGGCACTGTCCCAGGAAACGTCCACACCCAGTGCTCTGTATCCCTTGGTTGTCTGGACTGATGTACACACCAGAGAAGGCGGAATTGCGTCGTGGCGTGAGCCGGAATTGTCTTAGTGACAGATATACGGTTATGCTCTTGGCGACAGCCGTCCGCACCTGCAACAGTACAGAAGTTTGGGAGGTCTCAGTCGCTCCGCAATTTCCTGCGCAGCGCAACAGGAAGAACTTCGTTACGAACACTGACTCGGAGGAGAGTCCATCTAATCTACGAGCTGACGACTCACCTTCATCTGGTGCCGATGTCACACCTCCACACACACCCACAGAACCACACACACACACCTCTTGATGACTTCGAATTTATTTCAGCATATGCATAGTGCTCGTCACTCCTACATTTAAAATTAATGCACCTTAATTCAAGGCATATCTATCTATCTGTTACTCTGCAGTCGTTTTGTTGGACCTTGGGCGCTTTTCCAATTTCTTATTCCTGTAAACAGTCGGCAGGGTTCCTCGGATGGGATCAGCCAGTCGCAAGGTTGCTACCTCCACACAGAAAAACCGGACACAGGCATTCATGCTTTGAGTGGAATTCGAAGCCACGATCCCGGCGTTGGAGCGAGCGAAGACAGTTTGTGCCATAGACTACGCGCGCACTGTGATGGTCAATTCAAAGCAAGAACAAATTTATGGCGACGCTAATGAGCTCAACGTATTTGTTAGCCAGCTTAGCTTGTGTTCACTATATCGCCACGTAGCCAGGCAGTTGCCCACTAGTCGACGTAGCCAATCAACTTACCATCAAATTAGTCATGTCAGCTTGTCTGAGAGTCTGTCCATCGAGTTTGAGACCACACTTAATCATTTGTCTGGCAAGTCTGTAATTTTGTCACTGTTCGCCGATCAGTCTGATATACCATTCCACATATCGCACGGTTAGTCAGTATACCAATATTTCTGTCGGTCTGATGGCATGAGAATAGTCAGCTTGTGTGCCTTCCACTAAGTCGCACATCCCAGTGTGTTGGTCACTTACTCAGCCGGTCAAGCGGCCTCCGTAGTCTAGAGGTAACGTTCCCACCTCATGACTCGTAGTACGCGGGTTCAAATACCCGGCGGAGGTCGTGGAATTTTTAAGGGCGGGAAAATTCAGGGAACCAAGTCCTCCGGGAGGGACTTTAAGCCGTGGGTCCCGTGTCGTAGCTTTACGGCACGTAAAAGAACCTCATGTCTCCAAAGGAGGTCACTGAGCCAAAATTACGGACGTTTCCCGCCCAACAGCAGTCTCTAATACCTCTGGTAGATGGGGGAAGCATTATAGATACCTCTCAGCTAGTAGAGCCGGTCTCGCTGGCTGGGCGGGACTGATGGTAAGCACCAGTACCGGTAGGATATAGAGACTGGTAGAATATCGTAGAGGGAAGCACAATAGATCAAACTGGTCGCGGTGCATGGGGAAACCCACCCTCTCTAACTAACTAACTAACTACTCAGCCGGTCAGTCATTTTGTCACAGTGTCTTACCTCTCCGTTGAGGAAACAATACAGCAACGCAATGAAGAATCCTTGAAATGAAGTTAGGAAATGTGTCGAGTAGGACCAGAGGGCGAATTCCCATACGGCCCGGTCAAGAGGAGCTTGCGTCATGTTGACCAGGTTCGTGATTCCCAACAGCGGTAGCAGCACCAGCGCCGCCCTCACGGCTTTTCTGAGAAGTAACAAAATATTCACTTGTGTAAAAATCTTAACGGACCTGTAAATTAAGTTTAGTGCGTATCAGCAGAAAATATTTTAATTCTTCCAGCCGCACTATGGCCCTGGGCTCGACTCAGCTTTTAAAAGAAATGAGTACAAAGAAAATTCTTGGGGGTAAAGGTCGGCAGGCGAGTAAGGCTGACAACCTCATCGCCATCTGTGAGCAGATTGTCTAGAAAATGTGGGAGCCTTGGCGTCTCACAACGCTATGGGCCCCCACGGCATCTTACAGAAATATGCGAACTGGTACTTTCAGGTCGCAGCCCTGTGAACACTGCTATCTAAGGCCTATTCATGTTGTGACGTATTAAAGTGACTGCAGAAGGGGTTTGGATTGGTGATTGGATCCATCTAACACTTACACACAACTCGTAGCCACCAGTAAGAGTATCACTGGGTTACACACTAAATATCACTGTAACTGCAACACACATAAATCCTTCTGTGTCTTCACGAGTCACTTTCTGATAACGGATCCTAACAATGTCCTCTGCTTACGTCCTTACCGGCTGGCGAATTTCCTACAACTACCAGGCTGGCGGCAATCACACCAAGAAAGAATTGTTGTTACAGTAAGAGTAATGTCATGATTGACAAAACTCCAAGTTGTTTAGTATTTATTACTTTTTCCCCAATGAATCATTCCTTCGAACCAAATGAGGCACCATTTCAGCAAAGCAGCCCCTGTGCGCACTTACCTTACTTGCTCTAACTCGCTGGTGTGACTCTGGCGCAGCTTAACGACCAGCACGCGGATTATATTCAGCAAGAAAAGGAAGTTCAGCTGTAGACAGAGGACAGAAGTCATTAGGTGACACATCCCTCACTCACACTCTCAGTCAGCCACTTGTTCACGCACCTACATACCCAGCTAGCCACTTGTTCACACGCGCACACACACACACCCAGCCGCTTGTTCACATACCCAGCTAGCCACTTGTTCAAATTCACACACACACACACATCCAGGCAGCCACTTGTTCACATACTCACATAGCCAGCTAGCCGCTTGTTCCCATACACGCATCCAACCAGCCACTTGCTCACATACACACTCCCAAGCAGCCACTTGCTCACACGCACACGCGCACACACCCACACACACACACACACACACACACACACACACACCCAGCCACTTGTTCACACGCACACATCCAGCCAGCCACTTGTTCACACACACACATACCTAGCTAGCCACTTGTTCAAATGCTCAAATCCAGCCAGCCACTTGTTCGCACGCACACATCCAGCCAGCCACTTGTTTACACACACACGCACTCTGCAGTGTTCACTGTTTCATTCTTTCAGACTCCTGCATACAATTTCAACCACTCACTTTCTCACTGTGTCAAAACCCACTAAATTCACACACGCTCAATGTTACAGTCTCTCACTGTCTCTCAAGTTCACACTCGCAAAGACAAAATCTTCTTAGACACCTTGACTCACTCACTCCCTGAAACAACCTGTATGAATCACAGATTGTCAGACAGTACTGTGCCAGTCTCACAGAGCTTTGTCAAGTTGTACTTCATCTTCAGTCTGACTTCACATGAAAGTTGCTGGGCTCTGCTTCCAACGTTGTTCAGTGGGAAAGTCAAACATATTTACACAGGGGGTTCCTTTCATAAATTTGCTTATGCGTGGTATAACTGCCCTGTTTTGTAGAAAAGATTAATTTTAATATCTCTGTTTATTAGATGAACAGGTTCAAGTTGATGACCGTTACAGTGGCCAACTTGCCAGTGCTTTATTTAGTAAGATCTGCATAAGGATTGCACCAGTACTCACCACAACGACACCAAGTCGCGGACCCTCCAAGATCCAGAAGTAGCGAGTCAGGCTGTATCCCCACCAGCACCTGCACAAATGGAAGGGAACAGATGCGGCAGGTGCCCATACAAGAAAGACTTTAGGAGACAAATTTCATTTGTATGGAAGCAAAACCTCTAGAAGAATTCTTGAATATGTGAGGGCTACTTTAGTCCCGTTTGAGAGGCTGAGAAATTTACAAGGCGAAGAGTTTCTTTATTTTAACTGTAGTTCTAACTATATTAGATTCAAGAAGTCGTGGCATGTAGTTGGTAGTCCGAAATAAGGCTGCAGTACAGACATTATTTTGTGAATTATTGCAAAAAACAAAAGATAAAGCTATCCCTGTAACAGGCCGTGGAGGCCTGTAGGTTTCTGAGACATCGAAGCTCCCCACATTTTATAGACAATCGGCTCACAGATGGCGGTGACGATGTCAGCCTCACGAGCCGGCCGTCCTTTACCCCCAGGAAGATTCCTGGTACTCATTTCTGTCAGAGACGTAAGTTGACCCCAGGGCCGTAGTGTGGCTGGAAGGATTAGGTCAATTGAAACATCAAGTGACATAGAGATCGAACCCGCAACCTTCCGGCTTGTAGCATAGTGCATCGGCCAACTACCCTACCGCGCGCCTCTACGAATTGTTGACAGAAATATTACAGGAAAGTGGCTGCACGTCACAACATTCATAAGAAGGTTATTACTGTGCACGAAGAATTAGCAGGGAAATGCTTGGAAGAGTACAATTTATTTTTACATCCTGAAGTACCAAAAGGCATTCCGTCTCACCAAAATAACATTTTTAGGCCTTCTTGAGAAGCCGCCAGTCGCTCAGCTATTCGAAAATTTCCAAAAATTTTACGGAACCCGAAGTTTCATTACCTTGTTCACAAAATCTGTCCACTGGTCACTATCCTGAGCCAGATTAATCCGGTCCATATCACACCATCCTCTTTCTCTCAGAAGCATTTTTACGTTGTGCACTCACAGCCATCCAGAGCTTCTCCTACTGATGCTTTTTCCTTCTGGCTTTCCCACGTGCCCTATGTTTCCTTCTATCCATGTGTGCTACGTGCCCTATCCACGTCATCCTCCTTGACTTGATCATTCTAACTATACTTGGCAAAGAGTACTCTTCATGAAGCTCCCCATTAAACAGTTTTCGCCAACTTCCTGCTATTTCGTCCCTTTTTGGTAAAATTACTCTCCTCAGCATCCTATTCTCAAATACCTTCAGTCTACTCGTACATTCTTCCCTTAATATCAGAAGCCAAGTTTCATTCCCATACAAAACTGTAGGAAAATTATAGCAGAACTTTATTAATATTCAGGCTTCAAGCGACCTTAAAATATAGAGTTGAGTTGAGTCTAATTGTTATGTTCGTGTATAGATCTGCGTAACAGGTGACAAAAATTCGCTTCAGCCGTTCGTTGAACACAGATTTACATGCAATGAAGATACTGGGCTAAATAAAGAAATACAGAACTTGCTGTTATCGTTTCTTCTGTTTAATTGATTGGCTTACTCTTCGATACAGATGGAGGCAGTACATTCCCCCGAAACGTCCGTGAACTTCTAGCGGACTAAAGAACTGAGGCCTGTATGTTATGCGTCTACCGGATACAAGATGGAAGGTCAGGACCTTTCGCAGAGTGCGCAATCGCGGAATTCGGGCTGTGAAGGGAAGGGTAGGAGTTTGGTGTGAGATGGCCGTCAGCCCTAGAGTTAGAGGACTGCTGGAGTTCAGATGTGAGCTGTTGCTGTTAGAAGCTGGTAGCTGAGGCACTGGGATAGTTCGAGAAACCAGAATAATGGGACGTCCCCCGTTGAAAGCCGTTACCAGGCAACGACTAGTGGAGACTGAGGGCACTAGTCTGTGTGTAATAGTGTTCTGTAAAGTGTAGTCACGAGTTGTGTTTGTGCGTGGTCAATAAATGGAATTACCAATCCAAGCCCCGTCTATAGTCACCCATACAAGAGACAATATATTGTCTGCCCTCAAGAAAGTTACATAATAATAACTGGCCAGACCGTTGCGGAGGCGAAGCCACGGTTCTCGCTGAACAGACTACCAGTACATACTTGGATGCGCTATACTTCATCGCCGTGGTGACTCCCCAAGCAGTAGTCATGACAACAGGTGCTCCCCAGCCAATCAGCGTGTAGACGGAATAGTGCGAGTTTTCCTGGAACACCGTCACTGCAACACACAACAATCAGCAGCTACATTCTGTCCGAACGGATTTTCTAGAACATTTCTCAGTTACTCTTTTTACGATTATAATAAATGAACATATGATATAGAAGTTAGATCTTAAGCTTCATTTCAGAAATTATTCAACTTAAATCGGCAATATTTAATAATGGATATAAACTAAAAGCGGAAGAAATTAATTTTTATTCGCAGCGAGTTAATTGATACGTAGTAGTACTTTAGTTAAAGAGCGATTCGAAGTTTATAAAACTCTTTAAAACAACTTCTTGTGTAAGAAATTTGTACATGAGGAAGTGAATCAGCGTGTGCCTCATTAAGCCACTAAAATATTTTTACAGCTGTGGAATGTACATCCATTTGGGTGAAATAAAGTACATTGATGGTTGTACACATCGCCAAAACGGAATAGTTACTTAACGGACAGATTCTTTTAGTATATGACACCGCGCAGTTTGGTAGGTGAATACCAACGGTGCAGTATTGCCATGTAAAGAAAAACGCAATATGAATCTTCAATGGCGCTGATACCCTGGATTACACAGATGCTGTGTAGTTACGTTCAACCACTCTTTTAATTTGAGACATTATATTTGCATATTTTAATTGTATGCAGAAACTATAAATAATAGATATAAAATAATACTGCAGTCCATTAATATCAATTTGTTTTAATTATTTCTAGATCTGGTATACAAATAAGGAGTTACAAACAGATATGACAAACGAGGCAAAGTACCGTTTTTTGGTGGTTGTCAGGAACAGAATTTTGTCTCGTCGTCGAATAGAGCCTGTTACTTTGAAGTGTAGTTTTGTAATGATTAGCACAGACAAAAACTTATTTGTGTTATCAGATCAACGTTCCATATATACATATTTATATAGGTGTAATATAAACTCCGTCGTAAATGTAACACTTTATTGTAGTTCTTGTCCCCCTTCTTTAACACTACATGTTTCGGCCGCAATCGGCCATCATCAGGTGTATTTCACTTCTCGTAGCTCTCGCACTGCACTCAATATTAACATTTAAACTCCAGATTTCCAATTGTTCATTGCTCTGTCGATAATCGGCACCCGATATTCCAGAACTTCCCTTGTCGGTTTAGTCAGTTGTGTTTAAAATCTTTATTAATATTAACTCGTCGAATGGTTTAAAATTTTAAATTCTCAATTGTGGTTTAATATTTAAAATTTAAATTTAGATTTAAAATAAAAAATCACAGGGATGCCTGCTCTATGATTATATGTGCTGCAGCGGCTACCTCTTGCTTTCAGCACAACTCGCATTTTAGCTGTAATATAAAAATATTCGTGTTACTGTCTATGTTCATACGTTGTTCCTATATATTTTATACTGTTATGTGTACGTACTTTGTTCAGGTTCTCTGTATGTATGTACCACTGCTTTTCTTTAATACTTTTGCTGTCTGGTGTGTTGTGTGCTGTGTTTTTATGTTGTTGAGTGTGGAAGGGGGGTGTACCGTTAGTCGGTATAGATCTCATGTATTGTTTGAAATATTGGGTTGTGTGCATCTATGTATGTGTCATTCATGTGCAGGTCCTTCTTACTTATTTTAAATATATATGGTATTTTTCTAGTGTATTCAAATGTCTACCTTTCTTCCCCGTTGTTATAACTTCCATTATGTCTGTCATTGTTCCGTATGTATGTCCCGTGTTTACTATGTGATTTGAGTATCCAGAATTGCTATTATTATTTCTAATATCGTGTATATGCACCTTATATCTGGTGTCAAATGTTCTGCCCGTCTGTCCATTGTATTTTAATGGGCAATTTACACATTTCATTTGGTATATACCACTTTTATTATATTTATCTAATTGTGGTTTTTGTATAAGTATATTTTCACTTGTGTTCCGTGTGAGAAATGCTACTTTTATGTGTGTGTCTTTGAAAAGTTTCGTGATTTTTTGTACTTCTTTTGTACTATATGTAAATATGGCCCACTTTTTCTTTTGGTGGTGTTCTGATTTTAAATTTAAATTTTAAATATTAAAGCTAAATTGAGAATTTAAAATTTTAAACCATTCGACGTGTGAATATTAATAAAGATTTTAACATAATTGACAAAACCGACGAGGGAAGTTCTGGAATATCGGGTGCTGATTGACGACAGAAAATGAACAATTGGAAACCTGAAGTTTAAATGTTAATATTGAGTGCAGTGTGACAGCTACATGAAGTGAAATACACCTGATGATGGCCGATTACGGCCGAAACATATAGCTGTGAAAGAAGGGGGACAAGAACTACAATAGTGTTGCACTTACGACGGAATTTATATTATACATATAGAAGTATGGAATGTAACATGATGCTTAAATATAATATAGAATACATATTTATGTCCAAAGCAACCATATTATGGGGCTCTTTAAGAAATTCCATAGTTATGCCTTCTCCATAAAGATTTAACCATAATTGACAGATGTGTTACGTAAATTGAGTACGTACTAAATTTTGTCGACTGTCCGAAGAATTCTGCAAAGCCTCTTATTAAGTAGTGTAAGGTCAGCCGGAGCTGCGCAAGCTCAGAGCTGTCTCGTGATCCTGTTGAGCAAGCTCTATACTGTCTCACCTGTGATCCTGTTGTGCAAGCTGTGCGATGTCTCACCTGTTATCCTGTTGGCCACGCTCTGAGCTGTCTCATCTGTTATCCTGTTGTGCAAGCTCTGAGCTTTCTCACCTGTGATCCTGTTGTGCAAGCTCTGAGCTGTCTCGCCTGTTATCCTGTTGTGCAAGCTCTGAGCCGTCTCACCTGTTATCCTGTTGTGCAGATACAGCCCCTCGATGAACATCCACATGAACATGGCGGTGCGCGCGTATTCTAGCAGGACGTACGACGCCTCGCACAGGATAGGCTGCAATACAGATCACGGGTTTCTAGAATCTCTATTGCCAACTGTCTGCTCATCACACACTGGGGACACTTGTCTGCTCACGCTTTCCGGTCAAAACAGTGGCATCTAAATGATGAACACTGATCTGATTTTCATGAAATGCGGAATGGTCCGTCGATTGGGTAAATTTCTCCTGGCCCTCGCGAGCACAGTCTCTCTTGATTCTGCGTTCCATGAGGCTCATGACTCTGTGAGTCATGCAAATGCTGCATATTTGTACTTTTTATACCCTTGCCTTTAACGCCATAAACGGCAGGTGAGTCACTTGATGGGTCGTAAGCTTGACCGCCGCCAAGTTTCAGCCTCTTATATTTTCTATATCTAGCTTCACCTTGTCCTATACCACTAACGTGTTTATTCTCATGATTTTGTGTCACTTCTGCTTGTTGCCTGCACAATTGTGTCATATAATCCTATACATATGGAAGGTTGAAAAGTCGCGTGCAAACCGCGGCCTGGTGTGCACCTTGGAAAGTTCCCAGTGGCGCACAGAACTTTGTTCTGCATGCGCTGCAGTTTTAAGGGATGGGTATCTGCCGCTAATTTCCAGGTGGGGCAAGCATAAGTCATTACTAGGGCCCGGATCTGTCTGCGCTAAAAGCACTTAAAATATGCACTAAAAACACTTAAAATATGCGCTTAAAAGCGAAAAAATATGCACCAAAAATAAAACAATATGCACTTAAGAAGCAGATCACTTTATTCAGACTCGCCTATTTACATGTATCGTTCACTGCAGAAAGTAGCATCACAATAGGCAACTGGAAGTCTTTCAGTGTTTTCTGGAGACGAACTGCGTCTATTGGCCGTCAAAATGAGTTTATAGGCTGAGAATGATCTTTCTACATCAACTGACGTGATTGGACACAATTTATACACTGGCGCCGAAGGTTCGGAACATTCATCTGGCGAAGATACCCCAATTCCACTCAAGTACTGACTAACTGACTGAATCTTTTTTAGTCCTGGGTTCGAATTCAACACCATTTCTAACTTGCATTTAATATTCTCCAATTTCGCCTAGTGCGGAATTTAGTGAACAAGTTGCTTTCTGAACGAATTCAAGTGAGTCATGAAGGAGTGCACCACAAGATTCTAAGCTCTCAATGGCTTTTGAAAGTGTAGAAAAATGTGCATGGATAAAATTCACATCTTGATAAACAGTATCACTTCCAAACACCACTTTTGCTTCACGGACACATGAATACTCATGTTCAAGTTTTGTAACCACTTCTTCTACTTGATTGAAATTATCCTGATAAAATGAAACTGCGGATAACCATGTCCCTCACCTAGTTAGGACAGGTTCAGGTGGCAGAGGAACCTGAGGTAGGCAATCTTTGTAGAACTGGACACGAGCTGGTGCTTTCAGAAACATTTTTTCCACTTGCAATTAAATCGTTAACAGCTGGAGACTGCGCGTATTTTTCTGCAATACGGTGTAATCTGTGAGCTAAACAGGTTACGTGTATAAAATTTGGATAAAATATTTGTAAGGCCTTTGCTGCTTTCAACATAAAGAAAGCTCCATCTGTGAGTAANAGTACTGACTAACTGACTGAATCTTTTTTAGTCCTGGGTTCGAATTCAACACCATTTCTAACTTGCATTTAATATTCTCCAATTTCGCCTAGTGCGGAATTTAGTGAACAAGTTGCTTTCTGAACGAATTCAAGTGAGTCATGAAGGAGTGCACCACAAGATTCTAAGCTCTCAATGGCTTTTGAAAGTGTAGAAAAATGTGCATGGATAAAATTCACATCTTGATAAACAGTATCACTTCCAAACACCACTTTTGCTTCACGGACACATGAATACTCATGTTCAAGTTTTGTAACCACTTCTTCTACTTGATTGAAATTATCCTGATAAAATGAAACTGCGGATAACCATGTCCCTCACCTAGTTAGGACAGGTTCAGGTGGCAGAGGAACCTGAGGTAGGCAATCTTTGTAGAACTGGACACGAGCTGGTGCTTTCAGAAACATTTTTTCCACTTGCAATTAAATCGTTAACAGCTGGAGACTGCGCGTATTTTTCTGCAATACGGTGTAATCTGTGAGCTAAACAGGTTACGTGTATAAAATTTGGATAAAATATTTGTAAGGCCTTTGCTGCTTTCAACATAAAGAAAGCTCCATCTGTGAGTAATACAAGCACCTTACACCAATTATTCTCAATTTCAGATGGCCATAGTAGTCGCAGAGACTCATTTACAAATCTTGCTATTGTGCTATGGTTGGTTTTCTCTAGTACTTTGCAAGCAAGAAGATGAGGGTTGCCGGGTTCTTCTGGATACCGCAAAGAGGGCAGCTTTCTGAGAACATAACCCTCTTTGCGGTATGCCGCATATAGGTTTCAGATGGCCGTAGTAGTCGCAGAGACTCATTTACAAATCTTGCTATTGTGCTATGGTTGGTTTTCTCCAGTACTTTGCAAGCAAGAAGATGAGGGTTGCCGGGTTCTTCTGGATACCGCAAAGAGGGCAGCTTTCTGAGAACATAACCCTCTTTGCGGTATGCCGCATATAGGTTTCATCAGCACAGAGACCTAGATGCCTAAACTCTTGCTCCAGTTGTGCCCCCGGGCACGGATCACAGTAGGAAACACCATTTACAACAATACCTCCATTGTTACGCGCAGACTTTCGTCGCCGGAACCTGTATGTTTGCGATCGTTTCCTAGAAGCGAATGTTGTTTCAGAGCCGTTCGCTAGCAACGGATGTTCCTCTGTCTCCCCGGATCTTCTCTGATCATTGTCACAGTATATTTGTTCGTAATAATTCAATTCAATTGAATCCTTTATTATTTACGTGCCGAGTCAATAGCCGAAAGGGCCAATTACAGACAGAGCACAGTGTAGATACAAGTAATTACATTATGGACAAACACAATATAAAGTCAAAGACAAATTACAGGCAAGCACTGGGGAAAACACAATAATGCAGAAAAGTAAATAAACAAACAAATGATAATAATAGCAATAATAATTTCATGAACATAAATCTAAGTGTTATTAAGAACTGAGAAATGAAACATAAATATTTAATTAAGAAATGAAAAGTATAGATTTTCAGAGAGGATAATAATAATAATTCAGTTTATTGTTGTTTATTGTACATGCAAATAATAATACTAACAATTATACTATACAATAATAATAATAATAATAATAATAATAATAAAATGCATTTATTATTATATCGTCTTTTACATGAAACCTGGGAAACTTCTATTATAACCCTATTATAAGAAATGATTCATTATTTATTATTATGGTCACTCGGGGCATCCGGTGCTGTAGTTGGTTGAGGCACTATGCTACAAGCCGAAAGGTCGCGGGATCGAATCCCGATGAGGTCATTGGATTTTTTTTTCAATTTACCTAATCCTTTCAGCCGCAATATGGCCCTGGGGACGACTCAGTCCCTAACAGAAATGAGTGCCAGGAGTGTTCTTGGTGGTAAAGGGTGACCGGCGCGTAAGGCCGACAAATTCACCGCCATCTGTGAGCCGATTGTCTAGAAAATGTGGGAACCTCAACATCTCACAACCCTATGGACCTCCACGGCCTGTTACAGGGATAGCTTTACCTTACTTTCACTCATTATTATTTAAAAACATATATAAAATGTTGCGAAAAATAAGGAATAACCAATGATCTCGTCAGTTCCCGAGAATTCCGATTTAACTTTCCCTAATCACGAAGGTTAATATCTGTCGGGAATTTGGAAACGCTAGTCTTGAGGACCCTAGCACTGTGTACGAGTCAGGATATAAGAATCCGACTTGATTCTTAAAATTGTAGATTGTTATACCTTGCTGTATGGTGTAACACGAATATAGCTTTGCAGTTACACGGCTCCGGAGGAAATAATTGCCAAATTGTAAAGGATCTACTGGAAATTAGTTAATATCCTCTCCCATTCTCTGCTTTCTGTTGTTTTTTTTTTCACAGATGTAAGACAGTATACAAGTAAGTGGGAGGGGTTAGGGCGTCTACGTTAGCGCCGCATCAATGCACTTCCGTCTCGCGATCTACGGGAAGTGTCAGAGCGCGGAGAGGCGCGGTTTCTCTCGAGGAAGAATGCTTGACGTGAATATTTGACTGTTGGACTGAGGCAACGTTTGTTGTAACAACTGTGTTTGGGAGTCCTCAAGAGAGAGAGAGAGAGCAGACGAATATGACCGTGCACATGTATGTAGCAGAAATAGCAGTGTTTATTAGTTAGCTACACCATCTTGTGACAAAAAATTAGGTTAAAGTCGCTTAAGACAAGTGTTTTAGTTCTTGACCACATGTTTTATGTTAATATTGTATTGTAGCATCCTGTTGCACATTCAGCAGATGTCTCTGGTTCACCGTCTCACGTGCAACGCGTCCGTCTAAAACGTATTGGAAGTTTCTTACATACACACAATACATATTCTTTAAAATCTATTTAAAATTACCTGTAAATAGAATCATTGACATATGCTGAATAATTTTTTATGATTTAGTAAAAGTGTTAATTTTCGAAAATAATTCTATTTCTGTCTTCTGGTGAACGAGTGAATACTTAATTTGTTGGGACTCTCTGTAATTTTACTCTCAAACCGTGGACCGTGGGCCACCAAGGATCTGAACAGAGTAGGTGTTTTGTCTAATATTGTTAACCTGACGACAGAAACAGAAAACATAGTGGTTTTTACAGCTTTGAATGATGGACAAATTTCAAAGTAAGGAGAATTGACACGATTCTCAAAGTGACGTGAACGAATGACGCACCACGTCGCTATATCCTCATGGCGAGGTCTCACACCCTTACCGTGTTGTCGATACCCTGGAGACGATAGGTTCTGATTCCTGGTGCATGATGATCGCTGCTCGCTCCTCTGATTACTGCCTGATCGATGTAGAGTGTGAGCCGTATCACCACTTGTATCACCATCGCAATGAACAGGTTCTTATGAATTCGCGTTCTGCTATTTTTCAGGCTCCTGCAAAGCAATACGAGTTTATCTCTCTGAAAGAAGGGACAGACGCCTCAGTGTTAGTGGCTGCACACAGTGTGATCAGAGTGGTCAGATGTAGGCTGGCGCTCGATATAGAAAAACGCATCCTGAAAGAAGTATCCTGACGTGTCCACATCATTTCCAGGCAGGTTCACACCCGCTGTAGACAGACTGTTAGGACGGCTTTGCATGCACTCAAGCAGCTCAAAACCCAAAGGATGTTTGTGAAATTTAATACTATGCAGTATAGATATAAATTGCAGAAGCACGTCAGTTTTGAAGAATTCCGTCTTCTGGGAGGTGGTTTCGTGTAGTTATTGTGTAAACAAATGTTTCGGAAGAACATATCGCCTCCATCTTCAGGGTATAAAAATCCTCGAGCGAAGAACGAGCGTAAGCAGGTGGCTACAGACTACTTTTCTACAATAGTTACTTCTTCAGAGTAATGTGTATCAATACATGGCAAACCAGGAGCAATAGGGCCTCCACTAAAAATTACTGTTAAAGGTCAGTTGTTGAAATAATTGAAACACAGAAGCTGAGAACCTGACTCATGTATCGCTGGAGGAAAATATCTGTGAATGTGGCCTTATTAAAAGTAAATTCAGATTCCAAATACGCTTTAACATCTTCGTGATTTCGTTGTCTGTTTTTGTAGGTACATGTGGTAATTTGTATGTGGGATAATATTATATACAGAGATATTGGGTTTTCGGACTTTATCCATCGTCCTGGTTTTTAAGATAACTAAGAAAAACACTACGTTTCGGAAACTGGATCTGTTTCCGTCCTCAGGTGAGAGAAAACACCTATTCTGTTGGGTCCCTTAGAAAGAGCTAGCCTCAATCACTGGTCCAGGGACCCAACAGAATAGGTGTTTTCCCTCACCTGAGGACGGAAACAGATCCAGTTTCCGAAACGTCGTGTTTTTCTTAGTTATCTTAAAAACCAGGACGATGGATAAAGTCCGAAAACCCAATATCTCTGTGTGTTATACACCATCGTCCTATAATAGTAAATAATATTATATGTTTCCACTAAGATAGAATTAGTACAATGTTGAAGAATGCCTTCTTCTGCGATGTGGCGCCGTGTAGATATTGTATGTTGTATTGGCTGCAGCCACCTGCTCACGCTGGTTCCTTGCTCACGGATTTTTATACCCTGAAGATGAAGGCGATACGTTCCTCCGAAACGTCGGTTAACACAATATCTACACGGCGCCTCATAACAGAAGACGGAATTCTTCATAGTCGCCTCCGAGAAATCCTTAAATTTTACATAGTACAATGATGTATTTGTAGTGAATATATTCTGGATCACCCCGTAGGACGCTTACCGAAAGTGGCAGAAAATGGCGAGAGAGATGAGTAGCGCCGTCAGAGAGACACTGAAGCCGACGATCTCGAGGACCCTCGTCCGCTCTGCGATGTCCAGTTTAACCTGAAATGTGCCGGGCACTTGGTTACTCCTGTGCTCCGAAGCTCACATCTTGGCAGGATGGGGTCTCGAAATTCAACTGACTCAAACGTCAAAGTCGAAGTCACATTGCGACTGACGGTCAGTCAGTCAGTAAGTCTTGGTGTCGAGACCCATTTGGGGCTCATGACCAGATATTAATTATTATCGTTTGACAGTTACGGTCTTGTTTCTGTGGGGCGCCTTCTGACGAGAGGATGGGTCTGTCTTTTGTATATGCTGCTGGCCCTTGCCAGCGCAGTCTTACTCGGGTCCGAGTCCCTTGGGTCTCGCGAACATATTTTACTGTCTCAGAATTGAGACTTCCCTTTTCGTCGCCTCCTACGACTCGCAGAGTCACAGTGGAGGTATTCGACCCCGCCTCCACATGGGGTTGACCCAAACGTCAAAGACAAAGTCACATTGCGACCGAGGTCAGTCAGTCAGTATGTCTTGGCGTCGAGCCCCATCTGGGGCTCATGACCAGATAATAATTATTACCGTTTGATAGTTACGGCCTTGTTTCTGTGGAGTGCCCTCTCTGACGAGAAGACGGGTCTGTCTTTTGTGTATGCTGCTGGCCCTTGCCAGCGCATTCTTTCTCGGGTCCGAGTCCCTTGGGACTCGCGACCATATTTTACTGTTTCAAATTTGAGACTTCCCTTTTCGTCGCCTCCTACGACTCGCAGGGTCACGGTGGAGGTATTCGACACCGCCTGCACACGGGTGGGGACTCTGACTCAAATGATCTTTTTGTCCATTTTATAAACCCCTTGCCACGGACCACAGAGAAAACACAATTCTCTTGTTGCGTGAATTATTTTTCACGGAAAACGTGTTTAGTCAGTTGTTCCATAGCAACGGCTGCACACGTCGCATCTCATATAGCGACAATGCGTGCGGCCATTACCTAGCAACTGCTGTTTCTCTGGCTCCACAGTTCTTGCTGTCAACAAATGCGCCATAATATTGTATTTTCTGGGGTAATAAGTAGTTACCGGTTTCATTTGGGGCGCAAGACAAATGCGACATCAAATTTTGAGTTGTGGACAGAAAGTCCGGAAACAGTCGCTTCAGTCGAAAGTCCGGAAACAGTCGCTTCAGTCTGTGCTGAGCTGTTGCAACGCCGCGAACCAACCGTGAAGGGCAACAGTCAGTTAAGTCCCTTTCGAAATAGTAAGGAAAGTCAATTGGCTGCACAAAGGATTTGCAACTCAGGAAATCTTGCAAATATTCGTAATTCCCAGAAGTGGAGCAACTAGGGAGATCAGTAAACTATCTGACATTAAAAAGGCGGTGCACCGTTGTTACTGAGCTTGTAAACTTCCAAGGAGGGAAAGAAGTTATTTGCACTCGTCCTTTGGCTCTGTCTGTTCCAATCTCACAGGCGGGTTCAATAACAATGAATTTTCCTAGAATCTGTACTTTTTCAGTACAGAGAGAGACAGGGCTAAAATATTAGGTAAAAAGGTCAAGAACAAGCTGTCCCTGTGCTTAACTAATTAAGCACTGCACCATCAACAAGTATGGGGGGTAGATGTATAGATCCACGTTTTCTTGACCTCTACACAACTTGGAGCTGAGTAGTCAGCCCACTGGACAGGGGGTTGAGTGGGCCCCAGAGCCGGTCTGGACGACGTGGAGAAGAGAAAGTTTGTTACCCTAACAGGATTATTTTGCTGTGGGAGTACTGTAAACACAGAAACGACAGTAATACTCACTTTTAATGACGTCATTGGCCCCAGAAACTAATATTTTTGTCATTTTCGTAAATCATATTTAAGAAATATTTGTACTTCTTTTAATAATACATTATACATATATACAGAATGTCCCACTAGGAAAGGTCAGTATTCTGGGAAATCCTCGCTCGAACGCTGGGGTCGTGGGTGCGAATCCCACTCTAGGGATGGATGTTTGTGTTGTTCGGTGTAGCGGCTTTGTGACGGGCTGATCCCCTTTCCAAGGAGTCCTACCGACTGTGTATGGGATCAGCAAACTGAAAGAGCGGCCAAGGCCCAACAAAGGGCTGTAGAACCATAATAATAATAATAATCATCATGAAATTAATGAAACAGGGTGTCCAAAGAAGAATGGCCACAATTCAAAACTTATAAAAATCAGTAAAGCTACAGGAGTCCAATTTTCACCTTACGATATAGAGACGCCAAACGAATGATTTATAATGAAGTTTGTATTCTTACCGTCTTTGGACTGGAGAAGTGCTCGTACCGAATACGCACCTCATTAATGAAGAAAATCCACTGTTGTTATGATTAGTATTCTTGTGATTGAAGTCTTCCCCCCCCCCCAAAATATGTTCTTTTCCACCAGACTAGAGGATTTTGTTTTATTCTGTATAGACTTTCACCCCTACAGCACAGGACAGAAAACACACCTAGTGTTGTAGGGCACAATGCGGATCTGTTTTCCGTGATCAATTTCCTTTTAAAATTTCCAGACTCTTAGAAAAACCTTTTTTTTTATGCTCGACTCACAATTCTTTCGAAAATGAAGGAATTGCTTCTAGCAGAAGTTGTGAACCCTTGAAACAGACTTGGTCACCTTTTTGAAACCCAGGAATATAAGAATCGCCCCAAGGTGCCCCCTCCATCCAGCAATTTGTGTTACAGTCTGCACCGTCCCCGGGAGCGGGAAACATTCATGTCAACTGTGCTGTTTTCCTGGACTGATCTCTAATTTAGGATACCAACAGATGGACAGGTCAGCATCAGCGTAACCAAGCAACAGGGGTCCCGCTTGCAACACCTAAGCAGTTCAACTCCACTTTACGCGAAAGTTTTGAATTCTTTTGGTGATGAATATGAACATTAATGTCGTTTTGGATGTGACGTGGTATGGTTTGGTAGATCGTCACTGACGTTTATAAAAATCGCGCTACCTCCATCTTCAGAATGAAGCTGTTCTACTCTGAAAATAGAAACAGAATATCACTCCGAAACATCCGTAAATACGTATTATAGTACACGGCATCAGGTTATAGGAGACCGCAGCTTTCTTCATTCTAACTTCCACAAACGTCCTCTCTGCTTTCACCAATTCATTTCTGGACATGATCGAAGTGAGAATTTGGAACAAATTGAATATCGAAAGGAGAAACAGAATTTTCTCAACAAGATTAATTTCTTCTGTTTTTTCGCTATGCATTTTTACTGTAATCATGATTTATGAGACTTCTTCAGGGTACCACAATGTGTGCCCACCGTGTACACGTATCCCTTTTAATATTAGATCCATTTTCAGTGAAACGTTTTTATAAATAACTTCATTCAAGAATGCAGTTCTAAGGTTACGTCATTTTCCATCACTTGTACCCATTAACGACATTGTCATTTTTTGTTGTTGTGCAAGTGAACCCGTTGCTAGGGAAGTATACAACAGCCGTTGCAAAAAGCAATGGCTCCCCAAACAAGCATATTTCCACAACAACAATTGCACTGCAACAGAGGAAAGGTGTTTTCTGTGCGTTCCGTGCCGAGATGTCATAAGCAGGACGAGTTAGTGGAAGGGAAAGGTCCCCAGTTGGTAACCGCTATCAAGCAACGTCAGTGAAGACGTGACTGTGGAAATTAGCAAGTGTGTGTGTATAAACGTGTTATGTTACGTGTAGCCATGAGCTGTATCAAAGAGTAAGATAAATCTGGTCAGCAGTCCAAACTCCACCTATAGTCACTAAATCACGTGACACTGTGTTCAGGTGGTTTAGTGAGGCGTGTTCAGGACCCTCGAAAAGTACAGCTTCACCTGTCCCGCTTCATATATCTCAGACACCTTCATTAGCAATGAATGACAGAATTACAAAAAAAATTCCATGGGTGCAAGTGCCACTGCCACGCGCAATACAAGATTGGGGAGTTCTGCTGTCACAAGCCTTGCCGTGTGCAATACTGTTTGAACCGTCGTACCTTGGCCGCGTCCTCCGACCCCGCGTACAGCTTCTTGATGAGTTGCAGCATCTCAGGGGTGAAGCACGGGGTGTAGTTTGTCCACCCCTGCGGTGGCGACTCCCCTCCTGAAGTCCGGCCCTCCCATCGCCCGTCAATAGAACAGCGCTTATATGCAAACTCTGAAACAGAAGAAACCGTTGAACCTTGTATCTTTTCACTTGTGGACTATGTGTGTGAATATAGACGGGGTTTGGATTGGTGATTACATTTATTGACCACTTATACACACGACTCGGAACTTCCATTTTCTCCATTCCGTTGTTGAATTATTAAGAATGTGCTGCCTAGAAATGGGAAGTGTTTACCAAGCCGTTGCCCAGAAATGGTCGCTGTTTACAAAGTCACTTCTTAGCATCGGGTCTATACCCCACAATATTGTGACATGTAGACCCATTGCCAAGTAACAGCTGTGTAAACAGGCGGCAGTACAGCAGCCGTTGCTAGGGAGCCGCTCTGTGGACAAACAAGAGAACACGCAACAGTAGAAGAGATTTTCTGTGCGGTACGTACCGGGATATATAACGAGGACTGGTAGTTCAATGGAGAGTTCGTGTCCACGTGGAGGCGGGTTCGAATACCTCCCGTTGCGTCCAACTGAGTAGGTTACACCTGAAGACGGAGGCAGAATCCTGTCTCCGAAACGTTGTGTGTTTTGAAGAAAGACAGGACGATGAATAATGTCCAGAAACAGAATAATTGTATTAATACGCCACCGTCACAGAATTTTGGATCTTATCCTGAAGTTTTTTATGGGTTTATTCAGTCCATTCAGGCAAATTTCTGCATAATACCTTCGTTAGGCCATCTCTCATGCAATATTTCACAGCTGCATAGGTTAGCAACTGAAAGCATCGTAAAATAAGTCATGAAAACACAATTTCTGGAAATTAATTTAAAATATTTAATTAACCTTGTTGGTACGGTGGAACAGCTTTCAAGTGCTCTTTAGTGTGAGTCACGAGGCTTCTGCTGGTTGTGTGTCTCCACATCAAAAGGCCTGCCATAGTCGTATTAGACGAGACAGTTCTTAATTAAGTTTTCAGTTGTTTGGCGTAGATATGTCCTTCAAGCGTCGTCTTAAGAGCTTCATGTATTTGGAATATTTGCACGCACTTCAAAATAACGGCTCAAACTAGTGATGAATGAATGAATGGATGTATAAGGGATGGGCCTTCTTGGCCCTTGTACCGCGACCACAGTGATCTGTTGTGCCTCCCCTTCTGATTATCCTCTCAACAATCCTGCGCTTCGAATGAAGCACAGGATTTTGAACGTGGGGACGTCGAAATAGTTACTTGGTTCCATAAAATATTGACCCAAGTGGCGCAATCTTAAACAAGCTAAGGCCTCACATTCACATAGGATATGTGTGGCTGTTTCATTTTTTCTTGACACCTCTCACAAGTGGGACTGTTACTTAGTGCCATTTGGAGAGGTGTTCTTTGAGGTGACAGTGTCCTGTAAGTAGTTCTACCACCCATCGTAGCTGGTTCCTGTTTAACTTCAACAGTTCCTTCCCTCTTTTAGCGGAGGGACCTCGTCTGAGCCCCTTTGCTTGCCTGAGTCCAGTCAAGGATCCCCAGTATTTCTTGTGCTTCATATTTGCGCAGTCCCTGATTGCCTTTCTGGCAACTCCTGTAGAGATGCCACAGGCTGGTTCAGGTCCTATGAGCGGATGTTCAGCTCCAATCTTAGCCAATTGATCTGCTATTTCGTTTCCAGCAATACCCTCATGCCCCGGCACCCATATCAGTTGTACCCTGTTGTGTTTGGCCAGTTCCATGAGGGTTTGGTGGCAATCCCTGACCAATTTTGAGTTGATCTGGTGTTTGTCAAGCGCTTTAAGTGCAGCTTTTCTGTCAGATAGAATGTAGATGTTCCTATTTCTGTAGCTCCTATCTAGATTCTCCATAATACATGCCTTAATGGCATATACTTCTGCCTGGAACACTGTCATGTACTGCCCAAGGCTGAAACTAAGTTTCTGACTCGTGCCATAGCAGTACACACCAGCTCCAGTGCCCTTATTTATCTTGGAACCATCTGTATACCAGATCAGTCCCCCTTTTCTATCGGGCCGAAACCCGTCTTCCCATTCACTCCTGTCAGGAAATCTGTGAAGGGTTTTTCATATACATGTCTCAATATCATTTGGCAGATCAATACACTGGAGACGGTAGAGTCGTGCCCTGGCCTCTGCCTCCAACTGTAGATGCAGTGGGGGAGTCCAGTGCAGCTGTTGGCAAACCAGTGATCATCCACTATACCCGATGGAAGACCTTTTCACGTAGGGACAATTTTGTAGAGAATTTAGAAGCAATTTCTGCAGTACTAGTCATGAGCATTGTCATAGAGACCTGGCTGCTATTGAAGGCAGATGAAAGGTCATTAAGTCTACTTGAAAGAAAACTTCTCAGATTTTTGGAGCAATGCGGGTTAAGGGTATACGGAAGAAGAGATATAGCCATGACTGGAGCCACCAGCTCACGCTGGTTCCTCGCTCGCGGATTTTTTTATTTTTTCTTCTATCCTGAAGATGGAGGTGATACTTTCCTCCGAAACGTCGGCTTATACAATATGTACACGGCGTCACATCCCAGAGGACAGAGTTCTTCAGGCTATCACTAGGATATTGATTATAAAGCATCTGGAAGTAGTATTGAAGATTCCACCATTAAAATGGGAAAAATACGGAGCAGAGAACTTCAAAAAGGAAGATCCCCTAGAGTTTATGTGATCATTAGCCTCAGTTAAGGAAGTAAGCGAAGTTTTAGAAAGTTACTATTAGGCCAGGTCAATTCATAGGAGGGGGGAATTCATGCATTATTAATTCAAGAGGGCATCATGATGTATTTTATCTGCCAGGGGAAAATTAAGTCGCACAAATCCAATAAAACATTCAGCACAGGCCAAAGTCACCATTGTAAGTCAATTCTCAGTTTGCCACAAACGTACGCTGAGATAGTCCTAGCCCCTTGGAATAGAAACATTTATCAGCTCTACTTAGACTACAGATTGGGCCGCGCCATAGCTCAAGCGGTTAGTCGCTGGTCTCCCACCGCGGCGGCCCGGATTCGATCCCGAGTCTGGTCACGTGGGATTTGTGGTGAACAAAGTGGCGCTGGGACAGGTTTCCTCCGAGTACTTCGGTTTCCCCTGCCAATCTTCATTCCACCAACTGCTCCACAATCACCCCCACCTATCATCTGGGGCTGGTACAATAGGCCAGAAGTGACCGCAGTACAAGGGACTTAGTCCCACCCCACTAGCAGTAAAAAAATAGACTACAGATTAATAATGTAAGAACCACTGAATGTTGTAGATTACATAATGAACATACGAGCATGGCGCCCCAGCGATTTACCATAGTTACTATCGTTACTTTTCCTCTCACGACACCAGTAAAGTCAGACTTGAAGCATCTGAAGATGGCGATGAATGCGTCTGCGCGGACCAGTCACATCGTGCGACTGAACATCGACAGACTATACGCACAAAGAAGCAGAGTCGGAGCACTGACACGATAGCGCATGTACACGTAGATTTCGAGCTATCGATTTGTATTACGAGTAATATCGTAAGTCGAGAACAGCCCGCGAAATGCTATATTACTTTTCTTCCTTTAATATACTATATGTAAATATGGAGCAGGAGGATATATTTGAGAGCGTAACTCTTATTTCCTGTTCTCAAGAGCTCTCCCAATATAGAGCGTCTGAGATCTGGGCAACAGTTTCCCCATGTGAAGGCAGACCAGTGGCTCCTGTCCTACCCACATCCTCTACTGTCTGCCTTCCCATGGATGCCACGTAATAACTTTGTACACACAGCGGTTTACTGTCTGCTGGGTTTATGTTTACAGCAATAACGGACAACTTAACGAGACGGAAGCTTATATCAGCTTATCACTACAAGCCAATTACTAACTCCCTGTTGAGAAGACTGCCTCAGCATTCCGAGATATTCAGTAAATTCTTAGAATAATGCTGTTTTCTGAATTGTAATGTTGTGAGGTTGTGCTTCACGTCAGTTTCCTGCTTGGCTTACCTCGCTACGCTAAAAGTAGGGGCAATACGACTCTCTGAAACGTCTGTGAACTACACCTCGCTACGCTGCTCCTCGCTGTGAAGCTCTCTTGTTTCTCTCATGTGGTTATGTGGTTGCTACTGATTACTTACTGTGATGGCCGCCCACCTCACCTAATGAGAACAGATTGTTAACTCACATAACCAGAAGTAATTCGAGACAACCACATAAGATAACCAAACCGCATTACAGTGAGTAGCAGATTCCTTTATCACAACAGCCTGTACACCTGAAGATGGCCGGTTAGGCCGAAACATGTAGTGCTAATGAAAGAGAGTATTAACGGACGTTTCACATAGACGGCAAAAAACGGAAAGCAAAGTCAGATTTACACAGACCAACAGAATGCTGCAATCTAACATTTAATGATTTTACAAAGTGACGTACTAAATTATTATGATAAAATATTTAATAACTTTACATAAATGAGGAGTAACTCAATCTGTTGCTGTGAAATTACCTAGATGATACGGTACAAACCTGAAATATCTCTAGCTCTTATAGTACTAACGATTAATAAATCAAGGCGCGTAACCCCAAACGTTATTTAGAAATCAGTTATGTATTTGGTACAAAGTAGACATTAATACGATCGCTATATTACATCTATTTAGATTCGGAGGCACAGGGGGCGCGTCTCCGAACATTTATTTAAGAGTTCTGTACGAACTACAACCTTACTACAACATATTCTTTCAGAACTGAGTATATATTGTCGCAAGTCCCGAAAAACATTGTATTATTACTGTTTAATAATTTGGTACAAATTGGGTGTACTCCACAAAATTTGTGCAGTTATTTTAGGTGCCGTTGTTAAAAGATAGTACCTGAAAACGTTACGTCACAAAGGTCAGTATAGCCATGCAATTTGTAGCACTTTGATAAATGTTTTAACAAACCTTAAGAGAGTATTAAGTTTTATTTATCTCTCACAGGTTTGTAAAGCGGGAGCTGTGTTCCATTTGCGGCGACAGGCAGGCACTCTGCACAGGCGCACACCGAACCTCATATCCAGGTAACATTCTCTGAATTATGCCAAACTTTTCCGGAGACTGATGCTTGTAAAATGAGGACGCAGCTTATAAGCGGTTCGTACACGGGAAGCAAACATCTGACCGTCTGGATCCGGTATAGGCACGCAGTTCGCTGTTACTGCCAAGAGATGGGGTGTTAGCTTCGATTAAACGACATACCGATGTGATCTCGATTCGAGTCTATGTTGCCAACCAGTGAAGTCCCAATGAAAATGTATCATACCTAATATAGTAGAACCTGCCTTAAACGGACCCTTTATTAAACTGAAATCTGTCTTAAACGGAAATATTTTCAGGTCCCTTGACTTTGGGGCTGAAAAGATGTTAAATAACCTGGATTAAACGGAAACTGTCTAACGCGGACAACGGAAATCAAAATAAGCCTTTATACGGAAAATTTCCAGTCTTCCGGAATGCATCGTTTAGAATAATTTTAGGCATCCCATACATTCTATAGTATTTAGTTTTCCCTAACTCTTTAAAATAAGCTTCTAACGGTACTGCACTACCTGCACTGAGAATCAGCAGAATTGTTTTCCCCTTCTGGAAATTGTATTCAGTAAGGGCTCTAGGCCTAGTTCTACTTTAGTCTAGCAGCTGTCATCATGGCTACAAAGACAAGAGTTGTGCTTGATCTTAACACAAGATTAAAAGTGATCCATGAGAATGAGCGAGATATATTGTCTGTTAAGCAGATCATGAAGATGTTTAACGTCGGTAAAACCCAAGTGTATGATTTCTAAAGAAGAAAAGGGAAATTTTGAAGCGGTGGGAAACTTGTGCTAATGTAAAAATAAAAAGAGAACTTAAGAAAACTGCAAACGAAGACGTTATTGAAAGAGTGTGGGAGTGGTTTGTCAGTGTGGGGGCGAAAAATCACAGGTTGTCGGGTCCTATGGTACAGGAATATGCTAAAAAAGTCGCCGAAAACTGGGGAAGACTGAATTCAAAGCATCTAACGGATGGTTGGAGAGTTTTCGCAAAAGACACCGGATAGTTTTTAATGAACTTTGTGGTGAGTCAAGTGATCTAAATAGTGAGACCATTGAGGAATGGGGAGCTAAATTGCCATCCATAATCGAGGGATATGAACCTGAAAATATAGCGAACGGTGATGAGACTGGACTGTTCTTCCGCGCGCTTCCGAATAAATCGCTATGTTTGAAAGGTGAAAAATGTTTGGGAGGAAAACTGTGCAAAGAAAGATCGACTATTTTTCTATGTGGTTTTATGTCATGTGAAATGGAGAAAACCTTAGTGATTGGCAAGGCAGCAAAGCCACGATGCTTCCGAAACATGGACATACAGAAACTTCCCGTTGAGTGGAGATCCAACAGAAAGGCATGGATGACGTCACAGATCATGGAGGAATGGTTAACCGCCTTCAATGGTAGAATTAAAATGCAAACCCGGTATGTTTTGTTGTTCTTGGATAACGCAACATGCCACCCCCATATCGAACTTTCCAACGTGCAACTTGCTCGGTTCCCTCCAAACACCACTAGTGTTTCTCAACCAATGGATCAGGGCATCATTCGGAATGTTAAGGTCAACTATCGTAAATTATTGTATTAATGCAATCTTTACTCGGCAATATAGAGTCTACATCATCCGCCTCTGAACTTGCAAGAACTGTCTCGGTTCTAGATGCGGTTATTTGGATAAGTCAAGCAGTAAAGAAGTTGTTACCAGAAACTGTGACAAAGTGTTTCGAAAAAGCAGGATTTTCTACGGTAGAAGTTACTCCTAGTGTAGAAAATGAGAATGACCAGAAGGACTTACAACATTGCATGAATGAAGCTGCTTTCAGTAACTGCAATGCTGAGGGCTACATCAACATAGACAAAGATGTGCAAACAGAACCAGACACAATGGATATCGATGTATTAGTTGAGAATTTTAGAGAAAATCGAAAAGGAAGAGAAGAGGAGGAGGAAGAGGAAGAAGAGGAAAATGACATTGTGATAGAAGAAGAAAAGTGTAGAGTGAAGACTTATCAGGACGCTGCCAACAGTTTAAAGGTACCGCAGGAGTTTGCCGTGCTACGGAATGATTCAGACATGCTTACTCTAATTTCTCAAGCTAAAGTGTTTGTGGAAAGTCAGGCAGCCAAGAGAGTAAACTGCGTGCAAAAAACTCTGCCGGAGTTCTGGTAAAATTATAAAAAGCGAGTACTGCAATTTTTTCCTGTTCAGTGTAATGTTTGCATGTGTTCAGTGATTATAGTGTGAATAAATTAGTGAGCATGTTTTGTTTTGTCTCAAATACGTTTATGTCCTGGTTTAGTTACTATAGTTTATCTTGATTAAACGGAAACCTGGCTTCAGCGGAAAATTTTTCTCGTCCCTTGGGATTCCGTTTAAGACAGGTTTTACTGTATTTTGGCGTTATGTAGAGTCTCTACTCGCATTAAGTAGTGAAAGCAACTAAGTTGTAAAAATTATGCATGCGCATAAAATAGTTTTCGTTTCAAAATAATACGAAGGCGAGGCTTATATTCGGATAAATACTGTGTTCATGTATGTCCTTCAGTGCGTCATCTTTTGATAGTAAAAAAGGTCTGTTTTGATGTTGTGAGATCACAGCGTCTTGGTGTTCAGAAAATACTCCTGAAATTGGTTCCTTGCAGTCTTTGTATTGATTGGCAGACTCTTGCAACAACTCACAAAGGCCGCGGTGGAAAGCCACTTTACTCTCCATAGTCTGGTCGATAACTTTGTTGCTTGTGCAGCACTGCTTTGGCGTGAGCCGGTTCGCGCTGGCGGTCACACAGAGCTTTTGTGCACGCAGGTATGAATCGTCTAACTTCTATACCAACTGACTGGACATCCAGTGGATTTAGGGATTAATCTACAGGGTGATGCTACTCATTGTTACTGGACATGCAGTGGAGTTAGGGATTAATCTACAGGATGATGCTACTATTGTTACTGGACATCCAGTTGAGTTAGGGATTAATCTACAGGGTGATGCTACTCATTTGTTACTGGACATCCAGTGAAGTTAGGGATTAATCTACTGGGTGATCCTACTCATTGTTATTGGACATGCAGTAGAGTTAGGGATTAATCTACAGGGTGATACTACTCACTTGTTACTGGACATCCAGTGGAGTTAGGGATTACTCTACAGGGTGATGCTACTCACTTGTTACTGGACATCCAGTGGAGTGAGGTAATAATCTACAGGTTGATGCTACTCACTTGTTGGGTCGATACCCTTGTCACTGGGACAGCGCTGTCTGGCAGTAGTCCCAGCCCGTGTTGGCGGCCAACATAAAACGTAGTCCCACGTCCAGTTGCAGTACAGGTCTGTGGAAAAAAAAAAGTACACAACATTTAAGCGACGTAAATTCTAAAGGGTTCTGCCTGTGGATGCTTCACCTCGATTTTTAGACTTTGTCTATTGTCCAGTATTATAAAAGCTAGAGGAAACAACGTCTCGGATACTGGATTTTATTGGTGAATAGGTTTGTTGAAAAAAAAATCACCTCCCCCTCTCTCTTAGTTTCAAGTCTGTGCATGCATTATTGCAATTTTTTATTGCATATTTTCCTGTTACCTCCCATAGACAAAGCCTGGTCTCAGGTATTTATATAGCTATAGTTGTACTGAAATAGGCTGTCCAGTGATTGAGGTTAGCTCTTTCTAAGAGACCCAACAGAATTGGTGCCTCTCACTCCTCACCTGAGGACGGAAATATATCCAGTTTCCGAAACGTTGTGTTCTCTAGTTTTTTAATATACTGGACGATTGACAAAATCGAAAAACCCAGTAATTCTGAGTAAGTGACGGAATGGCCACTTGGCTGAATAGAAACAAGAGATATATACCTCTCGTATCTCAGAGGTGGGCTGCTTACTGTGTGCAGGTCGGGAAGTTATAGATAGATCTTGCTGTAAATGTTACCACAACAGGACATTTGTATTTACACGGAGCCGAGTGTGCAGTGGTAGGCAACTAACAGTGTCTGTTGCTGAAGTTACGGGAGATTAAATCGCATGCCTGAGCAGGGCCAGTTAGTTTGGAATATTCTTGTAGGGATTTCGACTCTGTTTTAACCAATTTGTGGATAAAATCTCGTAACCAGCTCCTGTACAGGACAGCAGCATTTAGTCTAGTGTCTTCTGCAAGTCTCAACTCAAGAGTTGCTAGTCGTTTCAGTCATATTTAATGCTTTCAGAATGGGATTCTTCGTACTCGGAGCCCTAACACGTGTGGTCTAGCTCGTGGCTCTGTTCCCACAGCTGTCTGATAAGGAGAAGAATCCTGTTTCGAGAATCAGAAAGCTGTAAAATATAAAACTTCTTTCGTTTCAAGTGATGTTAGGAGAAAAAAGGTAAATCTATTCATCTAACAGACCGTGGAGACTCCCGCATTTTCTAGACAGTCGGCTCACTGATGGCCGTGAGGTTTTCAGCCTTAACAGCCGGCCTCCCTTTACCCCCACGAGGATTTCTGGTACTTATTTGTGACTGACGTCACGCAAGTGTGACACAGAAAGAGAAAGGATTCATTCTTAAAAATGTAACATGCTTCATTGCAGTTCCCCTTTTTGAACGCAACTGTATCAATTTTAAAAATACAGTATTGTTAAATTAATTACGAAGATAATTTAAAGTATTTATTCATATTTCGTGTTGTCCTCTGTGGACCATAATGCATCTGTGAAACGTTTCATGTCAGTTTCTTAATCTTATAGACAATCAGTATGGATTTTTGAACCGGGATCAGACACTTCGTAAGATCGCTGCCTACGCAGAAGAGTACAGACAGACATCCATGCCTCGAGTGGGATTGGAACCCACGACCCCAGTGTTGGAGCGGGCAAACACAGGTCCTTAGACCTCGCTGCCTCTGTGATCGGCAATTTAAAGTACAGGACGAAATAAACGCATTAATTCATTAATTATCGCACGCGAATTTCGGAGAAGTGTTTAGGGGTATCCGACTTCCGTTTACTGTGGACATAACCCTATTATTTTTTTATTGCTAGTGGGGTGGGACTAAGTCCCTTGTACTGCGGCCACTTCTGGCCTATTGTACCAGCCCCAGATGATACGTGAGGGTGATTGTGGAGCAATTGGTAGAATGAAGATTGGCAGGGGAAACCGAAGTACTCGGAGAAATCCTACCCCAGGGCCACTTTGTCCACCACAAATCCCACTTGACCAGACCCGGGATCGAACCCGGGCCGCCACGGTGGGAAGCCAGCGACAAACCGCTTGAACTATGGCGCGGCCGGACATAACCCTAGCTTGTTATCCCTATATTCTTATGTTGTAGAACTGTCAAAATAATAAAAGGAAAACGCAGGCAGCTTCAATAATTACTCTATGAATAACCAAATCAAATTATTTTTTAGTAGAAACAGGGTCGTTAAATAGCCAGCCCAAGCCTCGGAGTTACATAAAGGAAGTTAAGACAAACTGTATGTGCCCAACTTGTTTCTGATTGGTTGTGAGAACTCATGTGTAAGTTCCTTGAGTCTGAAAGCAAACCAATTAGCAACTAATATGTCAAGGGACATGAGACATGAACGTAATAACTTTGCACCTAAGTCCTGTAACCTTTAGGTTATGTTTGAGTGTCTACAGTTGGACAGCGATCATTAGGGAACTTATGTTACTCTTGGTGCATTTGATGAGCCAGATAATTCAGACTCATACTCAGGAAATGCCCAATTCGAACCTCGGTAGGAACGACAACTAACCTCATTCAGTTTCCCGTTAATTACTCGATCCCTCCTGGCAAATTCCGGACTAGTAACGCCATTAGGCTAAGGTCGCATCTCTCCTCGTCCTTTCGAATTCAGTGTTCACTATATACCCTGCAATTTCGGCGGAGGTCGTGGAATTTTTAAGGACGGAAGAATTCAGGGAACAAGTCCTCCGGGAGGGACTTTAAGCCGTGGGTCCCGTGTTGTAGATTTACGGCACGTAAAAGATCCTCGTGTCTCTAGGAGACCTCTGAGCAAAATTAGGCAAGTTTCCCGCCCAAGTAGTTTCCAATGCCTCTGGTAGATGGGGGAAGCATCGGGTACCGATGGCCGACCTCGTTGGCTGAACGGGGCTAATAGCACGCACCAGTACCGGTAGGGTATGGGGACTGGTAGAATATCAAAGGGGGACGTACAATAGACTATTAGTCGCGGTGCATGGGGAAACCCACCCCCTCCAATAATAATAAAATAATAATAATAAATACCCTGCAATTTGACAGTGCAGTGTTTAAACTGCTGACAGCATCGTTAAATGAACAACAAGTGGAACGTATTGGTATAGTTAAAACTGCACCTGTCAGGGTGTAAGGTAAATACGTCTCACTTGATCATTCTAATACTTTGCGAACAGACCTGCTACAAATCAAAACGCTCCTCACTGTGGAGTTGTTTTCAGCCTATAGCTTCCCTTCCCTTGAACCTAAATCTCAGCTCATTCGGCAGCTGGACGGCAGGGATTCGATTCCTGGCAGGGCAAAAAATGTTTTCTCTACTCCACAGCGTCCAGATCGACTCTGAGGCCCACCAAATTTGGTACTGGGGTTAAAGCTGCTAGGTCGTGAAGCTGACCACTCACCTCCACCTAGTGCCCAGATTATGAATTGTGGAGCTGTACCACCGTTCCTCCATTTGTCTTCATAGCATGGCGATTAGTTACTTAAGCACAGGAACGACTTTGCCTTTGAGAAGAGTTCCCTTTGAAAGTCAACCAGTATTTCGGAGGAGCAGGGGCTCTGCTTACCACATGCTTTCACGCTGGTTTCTTCCTTGTCTTATTCTTCGACATGTCCCTCCGAAAAGTCCGTTGACTTACGACGGATTTCACGGCGTTATATCCCAGAAAACAGAAGTCTTCATAACCACCTCTAGGTAAACCTCATATCCTACATGTTTATTTGTACCTCACCGCCGTAATAGTAGTTTGTAGCCGCCATCAGGCATGGTGAAGGTAGTATAGTCTGACAGAAGTTGGCCAACGTTTCAGAGGATGTTTCTATTTCCATCTTCAGGGTTAAAGATTTAGCTGAGGAAGAAAACATTAAACATCAAGCAAACTGTTGTTACTAGCTGCTTCTTGAACCCCCTACTTCAACCCTGTAGATGGAGGCAATGAATTCCTTCGAAACTTCCGTGAAATTCTACGAGTCTACACCTCTTCACATTAGAGAAGATACTGTTCACAATAATTGTTGTGGGAACCTCACATCCGGAACTACATCTATCCCGCTTCTCGTATACCATTCGAGGCTATACAGAATGTCCCAGGAGAAAGGGTCAGTATTCTGGGAGGTCATAGTGTTGGTCATTCCAAGCAGTGTACATGTACACGTGTCCTGTTCCGAACAGTTTCCGAGATAGAGTTATTTCACTGCACAGTACACTGTACACTGTACAGACGAGCAACACGCCATTTTCTCACACGAGTTGCACCGACATAGAGCCATTTCACTGTGCAGTACACTGTACACTGTACAGACGAGCAACACGCCATTTTCTCACACGAGTTGCACCGACATAGAGCCATTTCACTGTGCAGTACACTGTACACTGTACAGACGAGCAACACGCCATTTTCTCACACGAGTTGCACCGACATAGAGCCATTTCACTGTGCAGTACACTGTACACTGTACAGACGAGCAACACGCCATGTCCTCACACGAGTTGCAAAGTGCATTGCTGCTGACGGCGGAACTTTCGAAAATGTATTATACTGGGTAAACTGTACCAACTTTGTCACTTGAACAATAAATACCGGAATTAGAAACAGTACGTAATGTCTCTTTCTTATCAACAATTTTGGAACTGTACAGTGAAATAGCTCTATCCCGGAAACCGTTCGCAATAGGACACATGTACATATTTTTGCTTAGAATGGCCGATATTATGACCTCCCAGAATATTTACTATTCCTCCTGGATCACCCTGTATAGTTTGGGAAATGACAGCGCCGAAAGTAATCAGCAGAAGATATCTCACCTGTCACAGATATTTACTATTGAGGGTGAGCTTTTGGAACGTATACACAACAATTTTAACGAACCATCATTGGAAAGAATGCAGATGAAAGTCAGCTTTATCTCTCGCTGTGTCCCTACTTTGTGACGAGCTATAACTGTCCATAATTGGGCGTCTGGACGCTGTGGGGTGTGAGAGTCCACGGCCTTTGATCACCGCCGCCTGTCATGCCCATTCACCGTTTTGATCTGTTTGCTACCAGATCGTTGTTTGAATGTTTTAGTGAAAGAACGGCGCGATAAGCCACTGCAGCTCCCTCGCACACTGAAACATTCTGATATGCGTTAATTACATAAGCGAACGTCCCTATAATATTATTATTGTAGAAGATAGTCGAATAAATAACGGCCGTTTATAGGCAACGGTTCAGTAAACACGTTCCTGCGACAATAAATACGCACGCAACAATAGAATTACTTTTCGAAGCGGTGTTTTCTATTCGATTCTTGCAAAGGAGTTATAAGGAAGAGAATTCGGGCGACCCAGTCACTTAGTGTCCCGTGAGGAGGTGGGTTTGAATACCCCCACCGTAGTCGTAGGAGGCGACGAAAAGGAAATCCAATGTCTGGGGTTATAACTGGGCCACCCTGTTCCTGGGGGATATAATTACGCGGACCTGGCCCTCCAGGTTGGGGGAGTCTCGAATCTGAGACAGTAAAATATTGTAACGTATTTCGTTACTGAAGACGCCGTTCAGATTGTTAATTGGTTTATTTAACAACCTACAAGTATCGGCTACAATTAATTATAACAATGTTACGGTTTTCCACACTTTACAAACCCTGCAACCAAATCTCTTCACACTATAAGTCCCGCGGGACTCGGACTCAAGAATGACTGCGCTGGTGAGGCCCATCATCAAATGTAAACGACAGACTCGCCCTCTCGTAAGAGAGAATGTTACATGAGGACTATAACAGCAAGTGTTCAGTTGAAAAGAAATACTGGTCTTGGGTCTCCAGGGGCGTGGCGCCAATACGAATTGATTAGCCGTAAACCGCCAGTCGTAAAGTAACTCTGACTCTGACTCAGTCAGCTGAGAGTTGAGCTTATTCTCCGGACATTAACGACGTGAGCACAGAAGCTGAAGAATCTCCGCTGTTACAAGCCGTTGCCAGGGAAGGCTGTTGAAGACGGTATAGACTGGAGAACGCTAAGCGTGTAGTGATTTGTACCTGTAAAGTGTGGAAATCATCGACAATGTTATAGTTATTTGTAGTTACGGTCTGTCAGTGATCAGTAAGTCTATTCACAAATCCATACCCCGTCTATAGTCACTCATACATATGACAATATTTAAAAACTTGGATCGGCGTTTGATTAGTATCCCGGACTCAGATCTGAGAACATGCATCACAGTTCGTGGCTCAGGATTTACGTATAGGACTTGACGCCGTACTGACCTCCCGATGGAATGAGGTAGTCATCGAACCTCTGGACGCACGCCTGCAAACTCGTGTTGATCCCCCAGCTGCCAGTGCTGTCCGACACTGCGTCCATCTTGTCGCGTTTACTGGAACTTCAGATAAGTTGGCGATCTTCGCTTGTCCAGTGTGAAGTACTTATATTCCGCTTACATCGGTCGGCCTTCCCTCGTTTTGAAGACCAGAGCGTAGTCGTGCAGATGTAGAGTCTTCCCTTCTTCAGTTCTCCCCCATATTATGCACTCCGCCATTTTGTCTATCCTCATCGTCTGCTCTGCAAACACAAAAAGAAAGAAATTTGGGTGTACGATAAAGATTAAAACTGTTCCATGTTACGAGGAGAAAGCTCTTAGTATTCAGTGAATATAATATTACATGTAGACCCGTTGCTAGGCAACGATGGCGAAATCATTCCTAAATAATTGCCGCAAGAGATTCTTAACACGCAACAATGGAGTAACTGGGAAGCAATGTTGTCTACGCAGTCCTTGCGAAAGCTACGTGATGCAACAATAGATCTTTGGGAGAAGCGTTTTCTATGCGGCCCGTGCTGAGATGGTATAAACAGGAGAAGTCTAGAGTTTAGTGAATTGAGAGAGTCGCCGGTCAGTAATAACCTAAACGCAGAAGCTCAGGAAGCTACGGCGTTAGAAGCCGTTACCAGGCGGTAATCGGTGAGGATACAGCAGACTGAACAGGCTTAGTGCGTGCTGTAGTGAATTGTAGAGTGTGTGAATTAGCGCTAGCACTATAGTTACGTTCTGTAAGAGTTCACTAAATCCAATTAGCAATCCAAACATTGTGTATAGTCACTATCACGTGACAGTATCTACCTACAAGAGTGCACAGTGTCACAGTCATGAAGATCATCACAATGTGAGTTCCTCCATTCCTTCTCTGAACGCTCCTTCCTGGCAGCGTGATTTATTCAAGAGCGTTAACGAAATCTCTGAATTCCCTGAAAAATCTGCAAGTATTTTAGCGGGACGGTACCGTTTACATTAAGTAAACTTATATTTACACCCACATGATGTAGAGGGAAGCTTCGTATTGTAGAGGCTCGTAATTTCCGGGAATGTTCGTGAGACCATTGTTGCGTGTTGATTGTGACGTGGAAGGACCGAGCTGCTGCCAGGAAGCTAAATTAAGTCTCATACGATCGAAACGTAAGTATAATTACAAACAACAATTAATCTGTTCCTGCAGCAACGTAAGGAGCAGACTCGTCAGAAAGGGATGTCTAAATAGAACGTTACAAAATAAAATCTGGAATGAGGTAACTGGAGAAGAGGCTGACCTAGGAAACACGGCAAAATTTCCAGTAGATGAGCAGTTGGCATGATATGAAAATCAATTCGGCCTCCCTAAGAGCCACTAAGTTGCATTGAACAGTTCCTGCGCGCAGGAGTGAGAACTGTGTGATGAATAAACGCGGAAGCCAGGCGGAAGGTTTAAGTGGCGAGCCTTTGCGGCCGTCTGAACATGAACGTACATAGAGTGAAGTAAAGGCCACTGAAGTTTTATTAACAGAACATTTTAATAAGTTTTCTGCTGTGTAAATTAAGTAATTGTATATTTTTTCACGTTTTGTCATATTATTACTTTTAAAAGGGGTTCATTTTAACACAGATAAGCGCTTAAACATGTATGGAAATGCTGTAACAGTCGGATGCTATCGGTATGAAGAGACAGCTCCAGCCATGAGCGGTTCCGAGATAAATCCCTGCCTTCTTATTACACGGGTGCAGACATAGTAATGTAACGTGTAGACCAGGTTTCGCGCGACCCACTCTGTGCTTGAGAAATGCGCAACAAACGAATATTAAAATTATTTCGAAAACTTGGTCAAAGAACAGCAAAAGTTGGCATAAAAAACACAGGCCTTTCATCATAGAAGCTGATTGTCGTAATTTACTCAAAGAAAAAAACTGTATGATCAGTGGATTCCACTTTGAACAAGTAAACATAAAGCTATCCCTGTAACAGACCTTGGAGGCCCATAGGGTTATGAGACGTCGAGGCTCACAGACGGCGGTGAGGTTGTCAGGCTTAATTAGCGGTTGCCCGTTACCCCTGTGAAGTTTTCTGATACTCATTTCTGTTAGAGGCTGAGTCGGTCCCAAGGTCATAGTGCTGCTGGAAGGATTAGGTCAATCGGAAATGAGTTGTAGTTGCGATATGTAAGTGCATTTAATGTCAATCACGTGACAGTATTATACACTGCTTCTTTATACAGAAAAATATTTCCAAAATAACAGTTCCCAGATACCAAAATGTATTTATCATTTGACGGTTGAGCCTTTGCCCCAATTATAGGTTTACATATTTTCCGTATATATGCGGTTTTCATTATCAAGAATGTCGCCTGGTTACACTCCACGACCTCGCATATACACGGCTCTTTACGTGGTCGTACATCTTGATCCCCCGCCTGCATGAGCTCGTCAGCATTTGAGCGCAGTACTAGTATTTCTTACGCAAAGAAGAATTATTTAACTTTTTATTTAGCGTGGTCTGTACAAGTTCAGGAGCCTCGTCTTTGGTATTTCTGCTTCCTCGTCTAGCCTACATAGCCTCGAATGGTGTGATTACTGATGAAAGAAGCTGAAAATATTCGAAAGGAAGGGGTTGTGACGTATCCCTGCAATCGCCACGAGTGAATAAGGGAAACCACTGAAACTCCAGGCAAGATAGCCAGAGTTCCGCCATATATTCGAACTGAAGACCTCCAGAACAAAAGCGTACACTCTTACTTCTTACTTCTTTCTTGGTCTACTCTTGGACCCTGAAGATGGAGGCAGGTAGAAACGCTATGGCCGTGACAGGAGTGAGTCGATTTTGGCGGCGGGAAAAGAGGGAACAGAAACAATTAATGCCGTAGAAATAGTTCAGACATCTGGCAGGGCACTCTGGGTGTTGGGTGGGTCGAAGCTGTTTGCAGCAGGAGGGATATCGGGCGCCGCACAAGGAATCCGCCCTCTGACTGAAAGAGACATCTATACATAGGAATTGATCTGGTGACGTAAACTTATAGAGTTAATTATTTATTTAAAATGAAGTGAATTATGTGCATCATTGCGTCAGTGTGCACAGCAGTTCGTGACGTCCATCGCGGGAGATTGCCTGCAGCGTCTGCAAAAGACATGGCATCGAATTTTCAATAACTTATCGTTCTTTTCTTTAGGAACAATAGGCATAGAAAAATGGGGAGATTACAGGGATAAATTGTAGAAGGAAGAGATGCAAGAAAGACTGAAAGAAGACAATAATGGTGTTCCTCCTGCCAGGCACCAAGCCACACTGCCAGCAGGACCGGGTACTCTCAAGCTTCACAAACACTGGCACAAGAAATACGTGTACTTCAGCTACATTTAAAATATTTGTATCGTAAATACAGAGAGAAATATATTGTCACGTGTTGGGGTGTGACTTGTAAGACGGGTTCTGGATTTATTGGCTCTTCTTCACAATTACACTCAATTATGACAGCTCACAACCAGTGACTCTCAACTACTCGCTCCATTCCTTGCTGAACTACCAGTGCCTTCTCTTCCACTGCGACTGGCTTGGTTCTGATTTGCAGATCAGTCACTCCTTCAACTTCCGCTGTCCGCTGGTTAACACTCCACAGCTGAACACTGAACTTACTGAGTCTGAGTCTTATGTTACAACCGACGGTCAGTCGGCCAGTCTGCCTTGGAATAAAGCACCCATCTGGGGCTTAAGACAAGATTTTTATTGATGTCAGACAGTTGCAGATTTTTTTTATGTGGGGCGCTCTCTCCGACGAGAGGACGGGTATGTCATTTACAATTGCTGCTGGTTCTCGCCGGCGCAGTCATTCTCGGGTCCTTACTGTCTCAAATTCGAGACTTCCCTTTTCGTCGCCTCCTACGACTCTCATTGCTAGGGAGGAGGTATTGGACCCCGCCTCCACACGGGGTACTCCACTCAAATTCTGACGAATGAATTATCTTTTTTTTAACTTCGAGAGAACCGGATAGAGATCACCGTCTCCAAGGGTTCCACCACTGCACATCATGAATGCGTTGACTCGGAAACGTTCATGAAGCGTTGCCTGTCAGACGAATAATTCCTTCTCTGGTTCCACTATTCCGGCTTTCAGGCGGTGTTTACCGAGCCTTTGCCTAACGAATGGACAGATTCCGTCACAGTGTGTATAGCTTCCCTGTGATGAGAGAAGTTTTGCAGAGTGTAACCGTCCACCCAACTAAACCTCACTAAACTCCTACACAGAAGGAATCAATACTAGAGGAACATAGGATTTATTTCTGGCTTAAGTAGGCTAATGTTTACAAAGAACGTGGTCGATATTGCCCGCCGAGCCTCCTCGTATTGACAGACATATAAGAAGACTACAGCCCTCTGCAGACTCTGTAGGCACTTCACTTTACTTTAGGTTTAAATGCTTCTGAACAACATGAACTGAGCAAAAGCTCAGAGCTCGTAGCTTTACTTTGTAACATGTCGCATCAGAGTTCAAGAAAACCGCGGACTCTTATGCTACAATAATGGTGCATAATGCCGGAAAATCTTCCGGATGAAAAGGCTGTTGTGCGCTGTCAGCGTGCGTGGGATGGATCAATGTTTAACTGCGAAGGGCCCTCCCGCGACTGCTGCTGTAGATCCTGAGGCTTCGTTGTGGAGGCTCACTCTTTTGTCCTAACTTGGTTTCCCAGGGTGACATCAGTGAAAGCAACCTTCTGGCACAGTCTGTATGCAGTTGGAACGATAGAATTCTCACGGAAATGAACTCATATGACAAGTTGGAAGCCGAGGCAGTATGTGCCCCAAAAAATTCTAATATGGACTTACCAGAAAGCACGGTATCACAACGCAGCATATCTCAATATGAATCACTTCCGTAAGACTTCTAGCCTGAAGACCGGAGAAGTGTGTTCCTCTTAGAATCTCGTATCCGCCCCATAACCCAGACATCCATAGTGTGCATGGTGTGTTACCGCAGACGGGGTTTGTGAATAATCGGATTTATTGGAGTCCTTGATACAGCACGTGCCTACACTTTACAGTTCACTGTTACACACACACACACTAGTATCCACAGTCACATCGTCACTGCCGTTGTTTGGTAGAGGCTTCCAACAACGCGAAGGTTGCTCTTTCTCTGAGTTTCCATACTGTCCTTGGCCTCAGATACCAGCCTCTAACAGCAACAGCTCACGACTGAACCTCAGCAGTGCTCTTAACTCAGCAACTCACCAACGAACTCACTGATTGACTCACTGCAACAAA